TCCACTTTGAAATCACTGGCTATCCGTGCAATCTGATTGGCTCTCAGCAGTGTGATTTATTCCTAAATCGCACCATTTTTTGCTCTAAATCACATCTGTTCCAAATCGGGTCATTCATGTTCTAAATCGCATCATTTCTGTTTTAGATCGCACCATTTTTGTTCTATATCGCATCATTTCTGTTTCGAATACAAAATGAGATGTAAAAGCCTTTTTGTTTCGGCTTTTTAACAAACCGGCTACTCGATCAATAAAATATTAGTACTGACTAAATCCTGCATGCGATTTCAAAATGGATGTAATAAAGTGGTAATTGAACTTCGTGTCGTGCAATTTTGGTCTGAAATCATACTTGTGATTTCAAATCGAACTCGCACTACGCGCTCGTTCGATTTTGAAATCACGCGTATGATTTCAGACCAAATTGCACTCCACTCAGTTCAATTACCATTATATATCACCAATTTCGGGATTACCGCGTGCACATTTCAATTTTCCGACAACCTTTCTCTAAATACAGTACATACCTTGAGTTAGTGGTTAACGTTAGGGCTACATCATTATTACATCTTTTAGTCAGGTCTACTTAAGAGAAAAAAAAGGTGGTTATTACCAAGCTTTTCTTGCATCCGGTGACATGCCGATTTCCTCCTTATTTTATTCGTTGTTACAGGTTGCTCATCAGGCTCTTCTATAATTAACGTGTTGAAATAACACACTGTGTTAGGAAAATTTAGGAAAATTCAGCCTGACTGTATCGCTAGTCATTTTGGCCGATATTGATCGATTTTATTGACCCTGAGGTGATACATAGTGGACAATATATCCTCCGCTATATCGGCCGATACATTATTCATGATCTACATGGCATGCCAGTAGGCTGTCGGTAGTGAGGGAGAACAAGGGCGGCCTTGTTGCATCCAACATTTTATAGCTATGAGAAATTTCTACTTAGCACCGAAAATTGTGCAGAGATCACGCTATTTGACTTAAATTATTACTTAGTAGTAGTAAATATGGCACTCCAAGTTCTCTTTCTCTAAGTCAAGCAAACAACTGGTCGTTTAAAAGAAGAAAAGTTTGTTGTCACCCAACAAACTCGATCGTATTCAAAGCAGAGAACAGGACCGCCGCTCAACCTTAAGTTTTGTATTTGTTTTGGGTTTTGAATGTTAATAGACTAGTGTATCCGATAAACAAAATAAGTGTTCTCTTTGCCCACTTTATATCCTAACTTTTTGTCAGTCTCAAAACAATCAGCACTCTTGTCATATTTGGTATGTCTTTCCGAAGCATCGTCTCCAGTGTAGCATTCTCCATAATCATGAACGGCGAAGTATTCGAAACCTTTGTGGAAGGCCACTTGTGCGCACTGTTGCACTGTCTCCACCTGTGTCAAGTTAATCTGACCACTGAAGTTTGCGTAAATAACCGGTAAGGCGCGCTGGTTTTTGTCGTCAATGTCTCGGTAACATCCAATTGGCTGTAGATCAGGCAAGCGGTCTGCATAAGAAATTAAAAAAGAAAAAAATTAAGACGAGAAAAAAAATGATTAAATGTACAGAAAACGCTCTAATGAATTATGTGATTTATTCATATATTAAAGACTGGCATTTACGGCAGTTAAAAGGGACGCTTAATGACTAGGTATGTGAAAGGGGCACCATTTGTCAATAAGGGGTACCTTGTTTTCCGTCAGTCAAAAATGATATTAAAAAGGGTAAGGGGTTGGACGTCGAGGCAGAACCTCCCCATAAAAAACAGTTCGACAATAAAACAAAGAAAAAGCATGACAATTAATCAAGTCATTTCTCTTATTGGTATTAAGATCATATTAAAGTAATCAAAGTTTTGTAACCACTGAAGTCACGGTTTCGATCTATGTCAACGACTTTTGATCGTGTCTTTTTGCAGCAGCTCTAGTACTGCATTAGTTTTTAGACGATCGAACGATGTAGTTAAAACAACACTACTAACCTAAGGAATAAACGAACATAGTATCTCCCTTGCCAATGCCGTCTATACATTTCGCATTATTTGTACCACTGCTATAGTATCTGTTATGAGTGTCTGCTCCAGATAGGCAAACACTATTCTTCCCCAACGCGAACATTATGTAATGTTTGTCGCGAGCCAACGCAGCGCACTTTTCCACGGCATTAGAAGTGTTTCCTGCAAAATCACCCAGTACCTCCTCGAGATTACGAGCACCTCTAAAGCATGCCACTTTTCGTGGAGCTACCATCTTATTAATAAACGGATTTGTTTGAATTGTTACTATGCAGGGATCTGAAAAATAACAGACAAACACAAAAGCTGTCATGAATTCGGAGATTTATCTATAAAAGAATAATAAATAAATAACCTACCCTTAACAACGGGTACTTTTAGCAGGCGCAAAATGTAGAACACAAAGTGTGAGACACAAACAAGGCGTGCAAAGTATTGGTGTTACTTCTCTGCCCACCAGTTCGCCCACTATAGTCAGAATTATTGACTAACAGGATTATCTTCAAACATAACCAACCAAATAAATTTTCAGTAATTAACGCGATTTTATGGCGCTTGAATTGTCACAGAGTAGACTTCCAATGTGAACCCGTAAAGTTAAATATCTACAGAAACAGTAATCCATTTTGCAAATTTTGAAGTTAGTAAACGAGACGGTTATCTTGTTAAATATCTCTCCTGCAGTTTAAATATATGAACTTTACATTATCATAAAATACGCCTAACATTGAAATGAACAGCTACTGCGGAGAATAACAGATTTTGTCCCAAATCGTTTCAAAATATCTGAGAATAACCTTGGGTTGAATCCAGCCTCCCCACTCTTCCAGCCCCCCCCCCCCCCCCCCCCCCCCCCC